TTGAATTTGCCCAAAGTTCATGTTCTTATTTCAAGTTTTTTCTTTTAAAAATTAAGTTAAATGTCAATTTTGATCTTTAATTTTAAAGTTTTATACAATTTCCATCCCTTAATTTTTTTAACTAAACTAAAATATTTGTTTAGTGTAAAAAATTAATTTTTTTTATTCCAAACAAATTATGTATCAATCATTTTTTATACCTTAAACTTAATAGAAGAAATTGAAAAAAAGTAGACATTGATAATCTAATCAATTTAAGCCAAGCAAATTACAAGCAGGAGCGATCAGATATATACGTACTGAATTGCAACCCAAATTGTTTCTGATTATAAGAAAAGGTGAGCTTGCAACGGAGAACAACAAATTTTAAGAAGTAATTTTAGCTGGATATTTCTGGGAAGATGGACTTTTGGCGGTATAGCTGGATGATTGGTACGATTAGTGACTATTATAATATTCTAATTCAGATGGCAAGTTGAAGCCAATTACAAGAGAGGCTGGTGCAACGTTTCTGGAAGATGATTAGCTAGTATGAGGACAATAACATAAAGTGCAAAAATTAGTTTATTATTATAAAGTCATGAATAACTGCACAACCCCTACATATTAGGACATTAGAACAGTGGGGACAAGGGGTTGTACAATTATTGATGGCTGCATATATAAAATGTTGTACGTTAACATTTGGGAACTTGTTTTAATGATGCGATTATATTTAATTGTAAAATATAAATTATTAAACAAAAATAAACTTATTGATGATTGTACATTAATATTTAAAAATTTTATTTTACAATTTAAATTGTATTAAATTGTAAAATAGAGATTATTGAGTAGGAGAGAAACTATAATATTAGGAGATTCACTTTTATTTAATAATTAATATAATACAATTTCATATAATCTAAATTGCATTATATATTTTTTTAACATTTTATTATTATAAAGTCATTAATAATAATAATAGTCTTTCACTTCTTGGCTCATGCAAATATAGATTTTATTTGATAATATTTTTTATTATTCAATTTTTATTTTTTTTTTTATTTTTTTATTTTAAAATATATAAAATATTAATTAAAATACATATTAAATATATTAATAATATTTTATATATCTTTAAAATATTAAAAAATAAAAAATGAAAAAACTCACAATTACAATTGTTTATTGTATATATCATAAGGAGAATTTTATGGGGCTAGAAATCCAAATTGAAGCTACAATAGATGAAAGAGAAAAGGTGCAACGGGAAATTCTAGCTGATCCTTTAAATGCA